GATGGCTGGCTACATAATTAACGATGAAAAGTTGAATATCTAGAGAATGAAAACTGATATAAAAAAAGTGTAAATTGCATTCTCCTACATTTGTGGAGCTTTTTCTTTACGGGTCATTATGTTGTTTGGATTGAGGTTCCCTTTAAAGCTTGGAAACGTCTCATTTCGTACTCGTTGATCTGCGCAACAGTCAAAGTCGCCATCTTTGTTTATATGAGACCCGTATATCACGCACATGCGTAGCGCGACGACTACCGCGCTTTAATCAAAGAATTGCGCCAATCAGAGGCACCGTTTTTCATGATGGCGTCAATTAAGAGCATCTTATTCTGATTTGAGATTCTAGCCGAAAATACATTATTATTAGAATAAATAAATACATTTTCTATGGTTTATTTATAAGTGGTTAGGAAAAGCTGTTTTCGCTTCTCGTAGCTCTTCAGGAAGACGTTTAACCTAACACGACTTAAGTTGAATAACCACTGACATTATACCCGCTTGCCGCCTAATTAGCGATATGTGGGTGTGGTGTAGGGCAAATGTGCTTACATTTCTTGGCTAGATCATGCTTATATACTAGATGCGTAACATCATGTATTTGATATCTAAGGTGTAAATTGTTATGCTAGCTGTAATTTTGTCAAAATAGCACCATTTTGTCTAGAGTGCAATTAAATGGATGCCGAGCACGCCATTCCTGGTAAACAAGATGCAGTTTATCAGTATTATACAGTATTAGATTGAATCTATATTGCATTTTTCCAACGTATTCGTATAATCTGAGGTATTGTATGTTTGTTGTTGAAACGCAATACAGACTACATAAACATGTATGTAATTTACACTGGACTGCATTCGACTTGCAGTTCATTGACTTTACACGTGACTTTGTTCATGCACTGACGCACATAGCGTTAACTGAAAAAATGGTTCTTTATTGAATTAAACAGTAGTAATGAGGAACTTGTCAGTTCACACATGTGGCATGTTTTACATGACGTGGTGTATAACGTCTGTCGGATAGTACACACATCGAATGAAATGAAATTATTGCCATGACAGTATATCGTATTTCACCATAGTGGAACCACGGCGGAACTGAGCACATCCTGTCAGTTAACGCCTACAACATGCTTTTATTATCGCCATAACTCACCAAATGAAACCCTCGGATATTCGATCATTTTATAACAAAGTTTAAACGGTGCGACTAACTGGGTTAAATAATATTATGTTTAACACGTTCAGGGTTTTACATTTGCAATTAAAAATAGCTATTTCGCGTCAAAGGTGTGTTGTACTTCAATATTCGGTTTGATTTGTTAATTGAGGAGATTGGAGTTCGTTGACGCCAGCTTAATTGATTGAATTTGGAATACATGTGCAAATGTCTCAGTCGAAAAGACGTTTTGTAATTAACACATCGCGGTGCATGTTGGTTTGCAGTACACGTTCGTACGGTGGAGACGTTGACAAACTAGCAATCTTAAAAAATTAAAAAAACGATACTATATTGGTTTAAACGCAGTTCCAATGTACATATTCGGAGGGCACTCAGGACCCTGAAATTATGTTCTATCTTAGTATATTCCACTTAGGGTAGAGCTCCAAAATAATAATAAAAAGGAAAACAAAAATCGACAACAAAAAATACTGTTTCGTGCCCAAAAAATGCATTTACTCCTCAAGTGATGATCTCTTTATATTTTTTTCAGATAAAGCGTTTAAACAGCGCCATCTACGATGAAAATCTTGGTGCTATTGTTGTTGTCAGTCGTCAGTTTTGATGTTGTCCTGTCTGCATGGGTACCCTCACCAGCGTTGGATAGGGAAGACAAGGGATTGTTAGATTCCATAGAATGGATCAAAGAAAAGGAAGCATCTGAAATACAAGACAACACATTTGAATCAAATCCACTGGAGGACAAACGAGGAAATAAAGATTACGGGTGGGGAACACTGTTCGGAAAACGAAGCAAAACGAAACGAAGTTTGGATGATGAGTATGGCTGGGGAACAACTTTTGGAAAACGCAATGCGCCCTCAAAGAAAGAGGCTGGAAAAAGTGATTATGGCTGGGGAATGATGTTTGGGAAAAGGAATCCGAACCTGAACAAACTGGGAGTACAACGATGGGGTTCATTTGACAATACACACGCAAAGTGCGATGAGACGAGTGGAACTGGTTGCATAAGTTGGTCACCAAAACAGAAATCAAACAAAAGAATTCATTTCGTAGCAAGGAATGGAGTGGATAAGCGGGGGGACATTGACTGGAAAAGGGGCGGAGATTACGGATGGGGAATGGTATTTGGAAAAAGAAACTATGGTAACCACGACTGGAACGATAAGCGTGGAGAGCAGTACGGCTGGGGCTTGATTCTAGGAAAACGAGACTGGGATGACGATGATACATTTGTTAATCAAATACCAGACAGGGACTTTGATGATTATGAAACGGACGTGTTATCTGATGAAGACGACGACGATCTGAACAAACGATCTACGCAAATATTTGACAGTTATATACCGCGAGGTTACCTGGGAGAAAACGTGAAAACATCAGTGCACAATAAACGGTCACCATTTAAGGCACATTTCAGACTTCCTAACCGTGTTACAAGAGCTGATAAAGAATATGGTTGGGAAATGATACTTGGCTGACAATCTAGATTACCCTAATGACCAAATGATTGTTTTCACTGACATGTGAATTGACTTTTTATCAGAAAAAAAAAAGATCTTTTTAATGAACAATTAAAATACATTTTATTGTGATTCCCGAATAACGCGTTTTCTTTGTATCACATGACGTATTAATTTTCGCAAGTTTGACGTCATAATATACCAACAGCAAGCTTTTACACTTTTCATGTTTCGAAATGTCCAAATTTTAATGATGGTGATGTATTGCATGTTGGCATAATCGACGATATCGTTTGCAATGACGACAATGGCGTCTGTGTTTGCCATTCGAGCTTTGTTTAATGTGTTTGCAATTAATGATATCGCATATATTTTTCCAATAATACCGATATCGTGTTTAATTGCATTATGGACGATATCGCATGTTTGCCATATCGGAGGTGGTTTTAGAATATTGGCGATATTGTTTGTAATGTAAACGATATCGCATGTGCTTGCAATAACAGTGATATGTTTGTATTGACGGATATATCGTGTGAATATGCAATATTTGTGATATCGTATGTCTTTGAATTATGGTCGATATCGCATGTCTTATTGTATGTTTACAATGACAGTGATATCGGTTTTAATTGCAATATGGCCGATCTCACGTATGTTTTTAAAACAAATTAATATCGCATGTGGTTTATAGTGACGACTATATCGTGTGTAATTGCAGTATGGGCAATATTGCAAGTGTTTGCTATAACAGCAATATTGCAGTTTTTTGCAATGATGGCGATATCGTGTGTAATTGCAATATGGACGAAATGACATGTGTTTTCAACGACATGGATCGTGCATGTGTTTCAAATGTGCAATTGCAATATACGTGGTATCGTAGTATGTGTTTTCAATATCAGCGATATCGTGTGTTTTTGCAATGACGGCGATACCGTTTGTAATCACAATATGGTCGATATAGCATGTGTTTGCAATGTGACCGATGTCACATGTGTTTGTAAAACAGCAATATCGGAATCACATGTATTTTTGCAGTAACGGCTATATCGTGTGTAATTGGAATATGAGCGTAGGTATTAGCAATAACAGCGATATCCACGATATCAATGACGGCAACATCTTTTGTAATTACAATACGAACGATATTGCATGTATTTTTGCAATGATGGTAATAGTCGTTTGCTATTGCAATATTGCCATATCGCGCGTGTTTTTGCAGTAATATGTTATCACAGCTCACAATTGTATTCACTACATTTAAAGTGAATACGCATGTCAAATAATCAATGGGCGCTTCCAAAATATCGCATTTTTTAACTTTGGGTTACAGCTATTCCAGCATGATGTATAATCACCAGTATTTTGAACATCAGTGACCCCAGAAACTTGTCATTATATGTATGGACCGGAAGTAATCAATATTATCTGTGTCGTGTGAACTTTGGATTCGTCATTTGTTTACCATTGAAATCTTAAAAATTCTAATTACTCCATTTGTTATGTGGCAAATCGAGATTAAATTGTGGTAGTCGTCGCGTCACACATACGCGAGATATTAGGGTCTCATGTAAACAAAGATGGCGACTTTGACTGTTGCGCAGATCAACCATTCTCTAATTAAGTATATTTTTAGTGATTAGAAGGTGTGGAGGACTCACTGGCGGTAATTTGTGCAAATTTCGTCCAGGTCAAACCTCCTACTTGTGATTTCCATTAGATGGGCGCATTGGGTTGTGAGAAAATCAATTTTTATCAACACAAATGTCGCACAAGCGCAGCGCGATGACTGCCGCCCTTTAAATCAATGCCACGGATTATATCATAGCACTACATTGAATCACTGATACAACAGAAATGTCTCAAAGAATTATATTTACTATTTTAGGCAATGCCACGTACGATGGCTGGATGTTGCTGTCAATGTACAAGTCATCATGTAATAACAAATCTTACTTGAATGCCATGGAGTAGTTTGGAAGATTACAAATAACTAAAAATTGCCATCGAACAGATAATATAAGAGATAGTAACATTAATCATGATTATTTTGATTTTGTTATGAATAATATTACAATTATGTGTAACTTAAGACAAACAATTTCTCAATTTACACCTTTTGACCTGCTGAGTGGCTTTAGATTATAATCCATCATATTTACGATATATGTGCGGCATTATTCAATATTTCTATGTATAATACATATCAATACACCTTGCGGGGTTCGTCTCACACTCAAGTCTTTCTTTCTGTCAGTTTAATAAATGCTGAAGACACGACGTGTTTGGAATATCACGGTCTATAGATGGCGCACATACTTGGTGCACTTAATGCTGCTGAAGTAATAGAATATATAACAACACAATTGGAACTATTT